CGTGGTTTGACAGAGGAGTGATTTGCCGTGCTTCTTCTTGACTGAGAGCAGTGACGTCCTGGAGTCTAAACTGGACAAACTAGACACAAAGTGTTCATCGGTTAGCTCCAGAGGTGCTGGTAGCTGGATTTAGTTACATTTGGACAGAGCCAGGCTAGCTGTTTCCCCTCGTTTCCAGTCTTCATGCTAAGCTAAGCTAAGAAGCTGCCAATTATATGATTTAATATTCACCGTACAGACACGGTGATGTCAATCTTCCCATCTAATGTCGTTATGTCGTCAACATAACAGCCAAGGTGTTTGTGCAGTCTGGGATTTAAACATTAAGACATTTATTGTGTAAAATGGAAGTAAAATTCAGCTTCAGCACAGCAGTCAGTGAGAGTCAATCAGCTTTGTGACATCTACATCCTGTCCAGTCCTCAGCTGGTCCGTCCTGGAGGGGTTTAACAGGAGAGCGCTGTGTGTGTGTGTGTGTGTGTGTGTGTGTGTGTGTGTGTGTGTGTGTGCGTGTGTGTGTGTGTGTGCGTGCGCGGGCTGCTGACAGAGTGTAAAACTAGGTTCCTGCAGGGGACAGGGACGGTCCAAACGCTCAATCACCATCACTTATCAGTCCTGCAGGGCTCAACATGTCGTCACTGTCAAAAGAAACACACCACACGACTCCAGTCTGCTGATTCACATGTCCAGCTTTCTACAGCTTTTAGAAACAATTATAGTTCTCTGATATGTTTCAGTGGCACAATAACTCAGTCCATTGCCTCAAGTACTGTACTACAAATTTGAGGTACTTTCAGTTTGCTTGAGTATACCGCCATTTTATGCTACTTTTTACTTCTAGTCCACTATCTCGGAGGGAAATGTTTCCTCCATGTATTTAACGGCTTCAGTTACTTTGCAGATTCAGATTATGAATACAAAATATCATCAACTAATAAGTTGTAATGCATTGTCACAGGCTCAGTATATAAATATGCATAAGTACTTTGGGGAACAACTTTTTGGGAAACAAATTAAATCATGTCAAATAACATATATATATATATATATATATATATATATATACATATATTAAACTTATTTTGATGCAAATACTTTCATTCTTTTACTTATGTAAGATTTTGAATAGAGAGTATTATCATACTTTTCTCTAAGTACTTCTTCCACCACTGTGTTTTTGTGATGTGTGATATGTTGCATTGTATCTGTGGTTTTTACACAGCCCGTAGAAATAACATTTATTTTTGATTATTCTGCACTTTTATGATTTGTGTCAACGCAGGAAGTAGCGTGTCCTTCACACAAAGTAATGTTGTTGTGTGGTTGGCTGTGTAGCATGTTTGATCAAAATGTGTTACCCATCACAGACATCAACGTGTAATATCCGTCTGTTTTTGTAACTTCAATTTCTGCAAAATAGACAAAAAAAAATTAACAAATGGTCAACAACTAATAATGGCTAACTATATTTTTAAACTGTTTATATTCACCATAGCGGTACCTTTCAGTGTTTTCAGGAATAGCGTTGAAATTATCAGGCGACAGAATCGACATGGCATCGTCAGAAAAGTCCTTTATCCAGACAAAATGCCAAAAATCCTCCGGTTCCAGGTACTCATATGAGTATTTTTATATCATTGTAAAGTCAATATATTTTGGGCTGTTGGTCTGACAAAACAAAACATTTGAGGATGTTACTTTGGGCTCTTAATTATTCTTCATTCAATAAGTATCTGTTGAAGGCTATCAATTAAATTTTCCACAGGATTTGTTAATTCTACCTATTGACTATTAATATGGTTCTACAGATGAAGAGATGGAGGATCAAGCCCCACAAAGATAGCATGAAGTACCTTAAAGCATTATAACGGCGCCATAAAAACACCATCGTGATGCCATAAAGCAACATTATGATGTTCTGAATGTCGGCACCAGACGGACCAATCATGAGCATTTTTTTGTAAGCGTGAACTCCAAGTTTGAGTTTTACTGGTTTGGTTCCATTCTGGTGGGTGTGACATCACGCAGGCACACAATTATGTCACTACGCCCCCTCCCCCTCCTCTTAGCCCCGCCCTTCTGGGCCATCCCAACTGCCAAAGCAAGCTAGTGGACTGAATGGCTTCGCTGACCTAAATTCTCCCAGAGCGACTCCTCTTAAAGCTGCAGACGCAGACTGAGTGAGACACAGACTCAGACACAGACTGAGACACTGAGACAGATCTAGACTGAGACAGACAGGTAGACAAACAGAGACACAGACTGAGACACTGAGACAGATCTAGACTGAGACAGACAGGTAGACAAACAGAGACACAGACTGAGACACTGAGACAGATTCAGACTGAGACAGACAGGTAGACAAACAGAGACACAGACTGAGACAGAGAGACAGACAGGTAGACAAGCAGAGACACAGACTGAGACACTGAGACAGATCCAGACTGAGACAGACAGGTAGACAAACAGAGACACAGACTGAGACACTGAGACAGATCTAGACTGAGACAGAGAGACAGACAGGAAGACAAGCAGAGACACAGACTGAGACAGAGAGACAGACAGGTAGACAAGCAGAGACACAGACTGAAACAGATATAAGAGCACAGACAGAGATAGACTGACAGAGACTGTGACAGACACAGACTGAGAGACAGATGGACAAGCACAGACAGAATCAGAGACAGAGAGAACACAGACAGAAATGGACAAAGACAAACGAGACAGCAGCAGACAGAGATAGAAGCTGTAACAAACACACGCTGACAGAAACTGAGAGACAGACAAATGGACAAGCAGAGTCAGACAAGCAGAGACAAGATAGACTGAGACTCAGAGACAGAGAGATAGACAAGCGGATAATTTAAACACTTCTTGAATTCTTTGTTTCTCTGCGGTTTTTAATCATTTCCACAAAAACTTGTTTTTATCTCCATTATTATTAATAATAATGTTCTATTTTTTATAACTTTTTGGGCCGTTTCATGAAACATAAATTATTGTCTGAGAAGACCAGTAATTATTTTCTATTTCTTCTCCATTATAATGTAATGATTCATTCTTTTTTTAAATGTATAAATACAGTCTTTAAACTGTAAGGTTTTTAAGGATGATTAAAAATATGAATCAGACTTACAAATAACTATTGAATCGACCATAACATTAATGTCTTTATTGTAACGCCACTATATTTAGCACCATGAAAGGGCTTAAATGTGTATTATAATAGTTCACGCCTAATTATGGTCAAAGACCTTTACAACGCCTTAATGTATGAAATGTTATCTCACTGAGAACTGAAACAGCCTCATAATAACTTCAGATTATTACAGAAAGCTGCACACATGTGAAGAAGTGTGTAATGAACTAATGATAGTCATATTACGCTACAGCTTTAAGAAAACAGTCTACCACAAGTTGAGGGGATAGTATTATATTTCATATAGCTGTAACAATAAATATAAAATAATGTTGTTGTTGAATTTTAGTTACATTTAATTTACAAACTATAGTGCTGTGCTATTGAATAACACATTTACAAACTAATATCAGCAAACTGAAAAAAAAATGAAAATACTGTTTTCATTTTAGCCTGTTTTCATTTTTAGGTGAGTACGGCTGGATGTTGGTGGAGGAACACACGTGGATCATGTTCTCTCACTGTGTGTAAAACAGACTCACTCAAAGAAATGTCGACTTCGCAGAACTGAAATCAGAAAACAGAAACAAAACGATGCTGCAATTAACCTCAAACTCACAATAACCAAGACTGAAGCAAACTCTGAAGATTAATAGTCAAACTGCTGCATGATGAGGCCTCTGAATAAATAATATAATGAAATATAATAATGTGACAGTTCACACTGCTAAACTGACATATTAGTATTAGAAAAACACAATACTGAATAGTCGTTGCCCTTCTCCCAAAAACATAAAAAAGTATTAAGGTAAACTAAACAAATGGAAGTAAAAAGTCAGGTACCAAAAAAGTAACAAAGATACTTGTGAACCTTTCAACAAATACCCCAAATAACCCTGAAAATATATATAAATCATCCTGCGTGCTGCAAGTAATCCTAAAAATCAAATCAAATCTAGTGTCCTGATGAAAATAAAAAAGTCTGAAAAAAGGTCCATTATGTCATGATGCAACTAAAAACCTCTCTTATATACTGTTCAAACACCACTCAAGGGTTCTTTAAGTAAATCACACCAAAAGAAATGCTAAAATAGTTTTACCGGCACTAAGAGTCCTTTTAAAAAGTCAAAAAGTTATAAAGTCACATGGCAAGTAATTCCAAAACAATAAAATAAAATTGAATGAACAGGTCATTCAAGCAACTGCCAAAAAAACTCAAACAAACAATAAACAAAACACTCAAACGTTTAACACTGCCAAAACAGTCAGTTCTGTAATTAAAGAAAAATAAAAAGTCTTGAAAGAGCACCCTGAGGAGAAATGTGTTCTGCTTCCTCCGTCTGTAAAAGTGAGACGCTCTTATTTAAAAGAAGAGAAAGTAAATATCAGGATTTTAAATAACATTTTTCAAGAGCGTGATGTTGTATGTTCCTCTGCACATCATCAGGCAGAAACTCTGCTTCGGGTTATTTCATCCTTTTTAATCAAGTTTAGTTTCTCTGAAAAGCAAACAAACAGACGGACAGCAACGAAAACAGACAGTACAGACTTCATACAAGTGAATGCTAACAACAAAAGTGCAACAACAAAAAAAATGGAAAAAACGTAAACATTGTTATTTTTTTTAAACCAAAATGGACAACAGTGACATGGTGCCAATTAAAAAAAACAACCTGGATCAGTTTTCATGCTGCTGCCAATTAACACTGTTTCTTCTTCTGCAATCTTTTAATACTATAATTCAATATTTATATAGGATACTTTTTGTACTTCTTATTTTGCCAATAATAATCTTGTTTTTGTGTGTGTTTACCAACATGTTAATATGTGTGTGTGTGTGTGTGTGTGTGTGTGTGTGTGTGTGTGTGTGTGTATGTGTGTCAAGGTCAGCCTTTGTTTGGGCTTCAGGAGGCTTTTATTTTGGTCAGAGGTTACATAAGTTGTTTCTGTCTTGCTCTGTAAAACATAATAATTGAAACATGGGGAGAAAGCAGCTTCTGGTTTGCTGTCTGCTCAGCTGTTTAAGATATATCAACAGAAACATTACACAGGGGTTCATTTTCAAAAACTCAAATTCAAATCAATTAAAATTAAATCCAACATGCGGGTTGTTTACGGTCAAAAGAGTATATCTATTTTTGCAATAAAAGGCCCCAAACTGATGGTGATTTAAATAATAATCAATATATTCAACAGTGCAGTTTAATATTATCAACAGCAGTGATTTTAGCCTAATTTAAACCAGAATTATTTTTTTTAAATATCTGTATTTCCTTTTAAATGTAATAATTCACATAATAATGTCACTTTTACTAATTTCTGCAATTTTAAGTTTTTATATCATTGACATTTTATTGATAAACAGGCATCACATTAGCCATAAACAGCCGTTTTATAAATCAACCTGATCTGCAGCCTCATTTTCTCTACTGGAGCTTCTTTTTTTTTTAAAGGCAACATTTATTTGAGCCTGATGATGTTTCAGAGCTCAGACAGCACTGACCTGAGATCTGAGGACGGACCGATCAATACCACAGTGATCAATACTTTGATATCAAACGCTGCTCATTCTCTGTGCTTATAATAAAAGAAATAGCACGAACATCAGGATATCTTTTATAATGCAGTCACGAGGTGCTGTGCACTTTGTTTTGAATTTTCCTTGTAAACAGTCAGGAAGAGATATAATTTTTATTCATTTATTTGATCAAATGTGGGCTATAATGCTGATTAGGAAAACGTAATACAACTGTACAAATTCAAATCATTTTAGTTATTATTATTTTACTAGTTTGTGTAACATGATTCATGTAATTAAATACTGACTAAGTTGCACCAAATATTAATTGCAAAGGAATTATATATCGAGGAATAAATAATTATTATCAGTTTGAGCCCCCCAAAAAAAGAGAAAATTAAATTCACATAACCAGTACTTCCAAATGAAAGTAAAGTAAATGCATATCTTATTTTTTAAGTTAATTTCTGGGCTGCAAATAACAAGAGCAGACTCTTTATGAATCCTGCAACATGTTGGAATAATATTACAAAAAATAAGTTTAAATAATGAATGAAACAAAAATGTGTAGGAAAATAAAAATTGTTTTCAGTTTTTAATCTACAACACCTTGTTGACTTTTCACTAAAACCTCAGTATCACTAATGTCGGCACATGAAACATGAGTAGCGGTATCAGACTGCCAATTGCGGCCCTTCCCTCCCTGCTGAGGTCAGCTGATGCACGTTTTTAGGATGCCATTGAAGCTTGTTTGTTGCATAATATCCGCCCATCATTGCGGCTGAGAACCTCGTATCTCCCAGTGTGGTGAAGTTCAGAGACTCTTTTTTTCATAAAACCCTCAAAATAATTCCCCAAAAATGCACTTTCATCCATTTCCATTCAAATTAAATTAAACTAAAACTGTCCCGATGACAACTGAGCCATGAGGAAGGCCATGAGATGTGTTGAAAGCTCTGGTGAAGTGGAGATTATTTTCTTAAGCTATTTCCAAGGTCAACAATGAATCATCATGCTCATTAAAATTGTTTTTCTTATTAGTTTCCAGCAACACTTTTTTTTTTTTTTTTTAAAGATGGTATTTTGGAGATACAAGCTTTTTGCCTGACACTAGCTGCGTGTGTGCATGTGTGTGTGTGTGTGTGTGTGTGTGTGTGTGTGTGTGTGTGTTAGGAGTGTGTTTTTTTCCACCCAGAAAACTGCAGAAAAAACTGCAGAAGCGTCCACCGGTCACTTTAAAATTTTCCCCGGAAATAGGAGCAGGTCAGCGGGTGGTTCAAAATGGAATGGAGCTAAAGTGTTGTTGTTTTTTTATTAATGAAATAGTTTGTACGGCGGCCCTGGGTGCACATGCGCAGTATGTTTTACGCTCGTACTGACCTGTACACACACACACTCACACACACACACACAGGCCTAATCAAACCAAAAACCATCTGAAGTGAAGAGGACAATCTAGGATTTGATGATAAACAGAAAACATACAAAAACTTGTGTTACAGCTCCGTTGATTTGCATAATTTTCCATATGAAGAGCTTTATTCCAAAAACAATTATATCCATGTATATATTGATTTACTTAAAGCGGTGGTTCAAGTCAAAGTAAATACATTTCTAGCACTGAAAGGCAGCAGTAAGGATGTTAGCTTAACTATAGTTCTGTCATATTGGAGAAAGTTTGTTTTATTTTTGGATATCATTATTTTGGAAGGAAACTCTTCACAGAGAGCAGTTTTTTTAATATTCATGTGATTATGGTTATCATTATTAGGCCTGTCTGGGGTCAAACCTGAGTAGAGATATGATTTGTAGGCTTATGTTTCCTCTCAAAACCCCTGATTGTTTCTGCTGATTTTAAGGCTATATCTATTCATTATCTACTTATTCAAAAGTTTTTCCACCCGAAAAAGTTTTGATTGTGTTTTTCTTCTCATTGATTGTCTCAAAATTTATAAATAATTATTAACCCTGTATGTCTCCTTTCGCTCCCTCCCTCCCCCTTTTCTTATACACTGACAAATAGAATTTAAATACATTGTACAATAAATACAAAACATAAATAAAAGACTCAAAGAAAGTACTGAAAATCTTTGTACAATATATAAATAGCTGGAAATATACTTAAAGCGTTACCTTTGGCAAGTCTAGTTTACAGTTGTACAACCCGCGGGTAACAAAAGTTTGTCCCTTTTTCAAACAATTGCGAAAAGAAATCCTTAAAAATAAAGCCGTTGCTCTTCGGGGCGGAATATGGCCAAAAAAGGTTCACTTCATATATATTTTTTGCGTTCAATAATTGATATTTACCACTTATTATTTGCCCTTAACATGACGTCTTTTGTGCGTCCTCGACCCAGTGCCATCCACTGAGAAGTGATGGTGATGCGGGAGGAGGGGGAGTTCAGTTTAGGAAGTTAGAAGTCACCCTCTTTTGATGGGACAGCATCCCGGGGAACCCCGCGGACATGCCCGGGGAGAAGGCCGTTAGGGAGCTATTTCTGAGGGAGTCCGAAAGCAGGGACTGCGAGGAGCTGCTGGTCGCCAAGCCGCCAAAACCCGATGCGCTCTGCTGGAGATGCGACGGATGAGGAGGCGGTCCTCCTCCCGGAGGCCCCGGGGCCGCTGCATGCTGGGTCCCTGAGACAAAATACCCGGCAGACTGTCCGGAGAGAAGCCCGACCGGCGACGTGCTCATCCCGTAACTGTTCGTCAAGCCCAGCGCCCCGGCGGCCGACCCGCCCAGAATGGAGCGCCCCAGGTCCCCGTTGCTCAGCTGCTCCACTCCAGTCAGCAGCGAACCGTAGCCGGCAGCCTGGTTCAAAAACCCGGGTGAGGATCCGTTGTAGTGCGGGTGGTGGTGATGGTGATGGTGCAGGGAGAGAAAGGGAGATATCTGCCAGTAGAGCGGGTTGTTCGCCCGCTCGTTAATCCCCAAGCCGAGAGGAGCGAAGCGCAGCCCGCGCTTCATCGCCAGCTTGCCCCGGGAGGTGGCGGAGCGTCTGCGGAGCTTCCCGGTTGTCCCTCCGATGAAAACATCATCGCTGCTCGGGTCCAGCATCCAGTAGTTCCCCTTCCCCGGGTCGTCGTAGTGCCTGGGCACCTTGACGAAGCACTTATTGAGGCTCAGGTTGTGCCGGATGGAGTTCTGCCAGCCCTGCTTGTGCTCCCGGTAATACGGGAAGTTTTTCATGATGAACTCATAGATGCCGTTCAGCGTGAGCCGCTTCTCGGGGCTCTGCCGGATGGCCATCATGATTAGGGCGTTGTAACTGAATGGAGGCTTGTCATATTTCCCGTTTTTCCCGCTATTATTGCCGTTAGTATTCTGCTCTGGTGTGGCCTTGGCGCCGTCCCCTCCGCCACCTCCCCCTCCGCACTCCTCCTCCTCCTCTTCCCCCTGCTCCTCCTTGGCTGGCTTCTCCGGGTCCAAAGCCGCAGCGGTGGAGTCCACCTCCGGTGGGTCCAGCGACTTCTCAGAGTCGGAGCCCGGGGTAGGAGAGAAGGTCCCGGGGATGCCAACGACAGCGGCAGCGGCGGCAGCAGCGACGTGGTCCGGTCTGTCGCACTTAGAGGGAAGCAGGAGGCTCTTAATACTGAAGGAGGAGGACCGGTGGACGGTCGGTGGGTCTTTTACATCCTCCATGCCCGGTGGCGGGTCTCCCAAAAACGAGGAATAAATAATAATAATAAAAAAATAACAACAACTCCAAGCTCGTCCACCTCCGTTATCCGGGCTGGAAACGAAAGAGAGACAGAGAGGAGAGATAAAGGAGGGTCAGGATAAGAGATGCATGGATGGAGGAGTGGAGAGAGAGAATAGAGACAGACAGACAGACAGAGAGAGAGAGAGAGAGAGAGAGAGAGAGAGAGAGAGAGAGAGAGAGCGTGGCTTGAATGTAGAGAAATTAGTAATTAAGGAGGTTCCGACTCGCGGCTACATCACGGAGAGGAGGAGCTTCTCCAACTTGCTGATTTTGTCAACAAATCCTCTTTTCTGCTTCTTCCTCTCCGTCCTTCCGTCTCCAAAGTGAGACTCTGTCGACCTTTAATGTCGACTAATGACACTAACCTGTCATTTGTATCTGCTCTCTTTAATCTGTCTCTTTCGGTATTTACGCGTGTGCACCTCCCCCTAAATTTGTTCATGTAATTGTACCGATCGTCATGCACCCTCCTCTCTGTGCATGTGTGCGTAAAATCCCCTTCAGAGCTTGTGCGTAAAAGCGCACGTCTGCGTGTGCGCGCATGTGCATGTGCGTAAAAGCGCACAGACGGCGAGGGCAGTCAGCCTCCTCGGCTTTGTTTTCTCAACGACAGTAATAGTTTGAATTCATGTCGGCAAACACAGCTCGTGCACGGTCGGTGTGCGCTCATGTGTGTGTTTTGGGGTAAGGGGAGAGGAGGAGGCAGGGTGAAGCACTGAGCGCGCCGCTATTGTTTACTGATAAAATCATTCTGGAAACACACACACACACACACACACACACACACAGAGCCCAGAGGCGGCAGGTCAGACGCTGTAACCCGAGTGCCTCCTTTTGGTAGCAGTCAGTACTGCAGATCATAAAAGCCTGTTTATTTTCTGACTGGTGTGTGTTTAATCAGACTGCTAATAATGTTATAAAATACAATAATAATAATGATAATATTAATAATAATACATATTGTTTATTAAACGCTTTAAAACAGATTTCCCACTTTAATGTCCCTTAAATCCCGTTAATACTGAGTCAAACCCCCAAGACGTTCTATAGCTGCCATTGAAGATATCGAGGTATGTCCTCTATATTGTTTCTGGAAATTTGGAATTTTAATGTTTTACAGTATCACACAAATTACACTGGTAATTCGTCGATGCCCACCAGAATTATATGTATATATATTCTGGTTGACTTTGTGATTTAACGTTTTAAAAAGTCTTTCATTTTCTTTTAAAACCTATATAAACTGCAGTCCTGCAACTTTGTCAAAACAACTTGCTGTAGTGTTATTTTTGGTAGATAAAAAAAAGATGACTCAGGCTGCTGTCTGCGGGAAGTACAGAGGTCAATATTAATCCTTGAAATTTCAGAAATAGAAATAAAAGTAGAGGCTGCAGGGCCCTCATCAGCAGCACGTGCTTCATGTTGCCAGCTCATTGAGAATCAGTTCTATCGCTTTTTCTACTGCAATGCACATTATAATCACTATTATTTCACCCCGACAGGTAACAAAGGCTTCAGCTCTGCCCGAGCGCGTTGAGTGACCCAAAATGGAGCACTACCACTGTGGAGCGAGCTCGTCCAGCTAACAGCAGGTGATTGCAGGTGTTTGGAGAGAGAGTAATACTCAAAAAGCCTGTAAAAGTCGAGCAAATTTGGATTCTTGTGCCATCTTCAGGACACAGAGCAGCAAATGACCGGTTAGTGGTGACTTTACTTTTGTGTGTGTATGGGTGTGCGTGTGTGTGTGTGTGTGTGTGTGTATGTATGTGTGTGTCTGCCGGCTGCAAGTGCTGTTGTGCTTGTACTAATTCAGAGACTGATTGTATAATAAGTGTTAACAATTCATGTATTTCCACATTTAGTTCTGTTGTTATACAGTAATATAATGTTTCATACTTGCATCCATCAACATGGATCTGTTGGGCCCCTGTTAATCTCCTCTGTCCTCGCACACTGTGCACAGTTTCTCTACGTGGCTCCATGTTTGATGTGTGTCATTTATTATGGAAAATATGACATATGGCCTAAGCCACAAACTTAAATAGCCTAATAAGAGGTCTTTGACAGAGAGACCCCTCCTTAAAAACAGGTCTTGATCATAAATTGTATAAACTATAGATGTCGTCTCTGCAGTGGTGGGCCGTCAGAGAGTAATTAGGAATGAAATGGAACGCTGTATCCATCCATGGGGGCTCCATCCGTCGCCATCTTGGCAGTGAATACACATCCTAACTCCTAGCTAGCAAGCTAGCGACCTGGTACGGCACCCGCCTGTCACTCAAAGCGGCCACGCCTTCAAGTATGCATAACTTTAAGCCTTAATATAATGTAAACGGTGAGTAACATTCAAATTCACCCCCCCCCCCAACCTTTTAAAATACAGTTTATAGAGTTATCACTGCTCTGAATATTCTATAAAACAGAGAAGTCCAAATGATCTCTATTTATTCATCCTAGAAATTATAGCTTCAAACTGTAACGCAGAATAGAAGACACAGCTGAGCATGTAAAACAACAACACAACTTTAAAGGACCAAGTGATCAGTCAGTTAATTCATTATTTGAAATTCAAACACATTAAATCGACATGTAAATATTCATTTTGGATTTTTGAGATAACAGATTTGGCAAGCTGCATTCAGTCACACACACTGAGCTCTGTGATCGTTTGTTTACACTCACTGCAGATTTTGTATGACAACAGAGCTGAAATCCAGATTACCCCCCCCCCCCCCCCCCCCACACACACACACACACACACCGGTCTTCCTCCTCCAATCTGCCGTATAAAATCTTTGCTGTGTTTTGGTACCAGATGGTGTTTCTGTTTAACTGGATCTGAACCGCCAACAAAGGCTCTGTTTGGGCTGCGTTCACAAGCACGAAGACACAGGCTAACACAAACACACACATTGATTCAAAACAGTACATTTAGATTTTTCCCTGAGCAGTGAGGGATTATTGTTGACATTTCAGACGCTCTCACTTTCAGTTTTAACATCCAAATGAAGAGGTTTACATAATCTGGATAAACTGAGTAAATGTTATCAGCACTCGGAAATGATGGACGTTAAAAAGTAATCCATCAGAACATGTGTCAACGACGGCTCGATGACGCTGCATTGCAAGTTGTGCCAGTTATGATTTGCTCCTTTTCTTTGTTATCCATGTTGGTAACCTTTATATCTTTGGGACAAGTGTGAGAGCTCCAGATAAAACGTTCTGCGGCTTTGAGCTACAACACGCTCTTGTAATGATAGGTCTCCTGGTGGTTAACAAATCAAATGGTTTCTTAAGTTCTTGCAATCCTGTTGTGACAGAAGAACTTTCCAGAACTCTGCTTCTCCACTGTGCTGTTTCCCTGCTTCATCTCCTCGGTCAGACGCTTTCAGTGTCCGTGTCAGTTTTTCCGCTGGCCGAACTCGCCACCAGCTGCACAGATTACACAACTGTTGCCAAAACAGCAAAAGTATTTATGAGCAGCTTTTAAGAGGTAGATTGTCATGAGTCTGGTCTCACAAAATATGAACTTGGCTGACTCCTCGTTCACTGTCACGAGCGCTCCATTGAGAAGGGGGACAGAAAACCTGACGCAACCTCCCAGCTTTCTTTATACATAATACCTCAATACAATGTCATGATAGCTGAATCAGAACACATGCTTTTTGAGACGCAACACTTCTCATGACTTTTACTCAGAACAACGCTAATACAGTTTAATTTATAGTTTAATTGTAAAAAAAAAAAAAGTTCTTAGTAATCTCCTAAAACAGCTGGTCACTGTAGTTCTTATCAAACAAACAGGAGGAAATAGTACATTTCTTGGGGACTATTTTCAACGGCGGATTAATCTACATTTGGTGCTCTATAAGTATTTGTGGCAGCAGGACTATGTGTGTGAGATTGAGTCAAAATAAACTACAGTGTGTGTGTTTATGGTAACGAAGGAGTGGCTCATTGATGTCTTTTAATAGTTTCTGGACAACAATGGAACTCTATGGCACAGAGAAAGAGTATATATCCAGATAAGATATCCAGACACAGATCACATGTTTGTACCAAGTGAATACTGGGTTCAGAAAGTAGATCTTTCAATGATTTTGCAGCTCCAGTATCAGATGATAAACTTCACAGCTTTATGGCTGCATCAAGGTTTGCAATATTTCCAATGAAATAAAACACACATAAGACATAGATTTCAGTTTTACAGATTACTAATTTAAATTTGTGTGGTAAATGTCTTAAAACCAGTAAGGCATTCATTATGTGTGTGTGTGCAGTGTAATGCCAATAAATCATTCATCTCCATATAAAATAATGATGACACAACCACCCATGCACATACATATGTACATCGAGGGCTACATGTGTACGTGGAGCTAAATGGGAAGGGCGAGGCGTTAGCGCTGGCAGGATTACAGATTCAGTTCCAACTGAGGCCAGCTGGTTCTTTCATTTTTTGCAGCCTGGCTATGTTTTGTCAGCTCGTATGAAATCGTCCAGCAAACTGCATGCACATCATGTTCAGTAGAACGTACCTCCGGGGGACTGATATGTGTCCATTTATTTGGCTTAAAGAAACATAGTTATAAATATCTACGCCAGGAAGATCATGCGATTGGTCGCATGCGTGTCCATGTGCATTCATTATTGTATGAGTGAGTGAGTGTGCACCTCTGTGTCTGTCCACGGCTAATCTCCAGCAAACTGCATAATATTTTGGGTGCCCAGTTATGGCTGCATGGTCAAGGACCTCTTGTGGTTGCAGTGACTTACACGTTTTTTAAAACACCTTTTATTGCCTGTTTCCATTGACTGCCTGCTGATGGTAGTGATAACACAGCTGAGGGAATCGCCGACCCTCCGCTACTTTGCGCCAACGGAATGGGCGGTGTGTTTGGCTAACAGCTGATGGAGCTACCAGTACACTGTAGTAACTCAGCCGCTGCTATGCGGGCAAACAGCTTCGTGAGTTTAATTTTGTTTTTGACAAGATTGTATGAAGGGTATTATACTGCGACTTTGCGCTGATTGCTTGCATACATTACCGCTTGTTCTTGAGTTTGAATGAAGTGTTACAG